AATTGGATTTCAAAAGGTCATAAATTAAGATATAATTTGAACAGTGTACGAAACGAAATGTTAATTTGTTTCATATTAACCGAAACCAGATTTATGTATTTAATTACTTACCTGTTGCTGCTTCCATTAGGTTAGCGGAAGGAAGAAATAATAGCTAGTTAATATCGATTCAGAATTTAAAAAGGACATTACATTAATCTAAATTTTATAACAAAGTATTCAAGTTCTCTCTCCCATGTCTCTATCTCTCACGCAGAGCGAGGTGCCGGCATGACAGATAGATTCGAAACTACGTTAAGTTGTTTACAAAACGGCCTTAGCACGTTTACACACAATACCGCGGCGTTGTTTTGGATTCGTAAGGGGCCTTCAACTACGTCGCCGCTGCGTCATAATGAGTAACCGGCCTTGCGAAGTAGCCCTGTGGCCTAATTCACGTATTTTGACAGTCAAAATCTCGCTGACGACGTTCAGAAGTCGTCCCATTGAACAGTTCAACGACTTCTGAACGTCGTCAGCAAGATTTTGACTGTCAAAATACGTGAATTAGGCCACAGGGCTACTTTAGAACTGTCTAAATCCGTATTCACAAGGGTCATTTTGATAGAACGTTACTCGATAGGATCGTAACTCAGTGTTTTGTTGTCGTTGAAGTTACGGGCTAGTTGTATCGGTCACGAGTCTCAAGATAAAGCTTGTACTCACTGTCGAGCCCGTTGATGTCGTCGTAGGCGCGGCGCTTGAGCGCGGGCGGCGGCGCCGCGGCCGCCTCGCGGCGCGCGTCCAGCTCGGCGCGTGACGCCACACGCTCGTATATCAGGCTGCCGTCTGCAATAACGAATGGAGTTAGCGTTTCTCAAGCGATCCAATGTTGTCTTGGTTTATCAATTTCTTCAGGGTGCCTTCAATAGACATGTTGACACCACCAATCAATTGACGTACTTTTTAAAACTGTCAAAACGAAACTCTCCCATAGATTTTGTATGGCGCTACAAGCAAGTGACGTCACTATTTTGTCAACTCAATAAAACTACTTTTTTCAATTACAATGCGAGCAAAAATCATTATTTACAGGTAATTTAAAATCAAGTAAGTTTTTAAGACCAGAATGAAGGGTCTTTTTAAAAAAGTTGTGGTTTCGAATTATTGGGGTATGGTGTCAAACTGTCCACTTAGAGGCGTGGAGAAACGCTGCAGTGGCGTCACTGTGGAACTTTCTCATGCCACTAGTGAAAGACCTTCAAGGTCTTTCACCTTTTACATATTTCTATTTTGTAGACTGGCGATTACTATCTAAGGCATGCTAGGGTGGGCCTTTATGAAATTTCTTGAGACAGCCCTAATAAATCTATAAAAATATTTCGACGAATTGAGAACCTCCTCCTTTTTTTGAAGTCGGTTAAAAAAGGTCGTCAATTCTGTTCTGGACTCTGGATGTTCCTGTATAATTTACAAGGCAGTAGCTACGCCATTTATTGACATGGTGGTAACGGTGAATGGTTTAGTCAGCTATATGAGTATTCAATCATTCGCTTCCAATTGGAATAAATGAGGGCTATCGTTTTAGCGCTCATCAGTTAGCGCCACTGTAGAGTAAGGTCCTGTCACTTGCTAGTAGCGAAGACAGTGGCGCCAGCTGGTGAGCGCTAAAGTGGTAGGAGGACTATCGCATTTGCACTCATCAAGATGGCGCCACTGTAGAGTAAGGTCCTGTCAATCGCCAGGGGTGCCAACTGTTAAGTATAAAAACGATAGCCCTCATTGGAAGAGCATAATTAATGTTTATAGAAGCACGCGCCGCGGGCCGCCGCCAGCCGCGTGGCCACCGCGCCCACCGGCCCGCCGCGCGGAGCATAGGCTAGTAAATAGTATTGTAGTCTCACCGGGCGCCTTGGGCGGCTTGGGGAAGGCGACGTGCACGGGCACGGGCATGCGGTCGCGCGGCGTGAGCGCCAGCCAGTCGTGGCGCGCGTGCGCCGGCGCGCCGCGGGCCGCCGCCANTGGCCACCGCGCCCACCGGCCCGCGCGCGCGCGCCGTGCCGCCCGGCGCGCCCGCCGCGCGGAGTTCTGCGCCGCCTAATCCCGCCATTGCTATTGAACCTGAAAAAGTTAAATCGGTCAATAGTGGAATAACAAACGGAACGGCTCCATGCGAGTTAACTATGTATGCACAGTTTTGACAATACATTACTATCTAACTAGGTCGCTGGTTCATATCTGGCTCGAAGGTCCAATATGCTAAAATAACATTTTACACTGCAAGAAATGTTGAAAAGAAACTCCTCGGTCTTCCTTTTACCAGTTGGATTAAACATCAATGTTGAAGACCAAGAGTATCTTTTAAACTTTCCCTTTAGTGCCAAGCCTATTCTAGTACATTTGGACAATACAAATCACAAAAATAAAAATCTTACAACTAATTTAGCCATTGACAAACACCAATGGCCCACAGCTACCGTAGTTCTGTTCGCTGGGCTACGGTTCATGTAAGGCGGCGCGCGTCTGGTGGCGGGCTCTCGTCGGGCTACGGTACTATCGTTTCAGCCAAATGACGTCCACTGCTGGACAAGGCCTCCCCCAAGGCTTTCCATAATGAACGGTCCTGCGCTGCCCGTATCCAGGTTCTTCCCGCAACCATTACCAGATCGTCGGTCCAGCTAGTAGGAGGCCTGCCCACGCTACGTCTTCCATACTACAGGTAGAAGGCGGCGCGCGTCTGCTGACGGGTGGTCGGGCTGCGGTCCTGTACGACACTCACACTCGTGCTTGACCTGCTGCAGGTTGATGGGCGAGGTGCGCAGGTATAGCCTGGTCTGTGAGCACGTAGAATTTTGTCCAATGAACCCTAGCTACCCATCCTTATCGCTCGCGCGTAATTATGTTGCTATCGCGCTTGCACACTCACTGCGGGTGCCAGTCGCACAGTCGCGACAGCAATATAATTGCGCGCGAGCGATAGGGATGGGTAGCTAGGGGTCATTGGACAAAATTGTACGTGCTCACGGACCGGGCTTTAGATTATTTTTCAGGGACGCCCCGGGACCACCACGAGCTGGGATGGTGGTCGGAGGCATTTTGCCGGCCCTGCCACCCTATAGTTACGCCACTGATCTGATGTCTATTGTCTGTACATATATGCTAGGGTTCATTGGACAAAATTCTACGTGCTCACAGACCGGGCTTTAGAAGGCGGCGCGCGTCTGCTGACGGGCCCTGGTCGGGCTGCGGTCCTGTACGACACTCACACTCGTGCTTGACCTGCTGCCGGTTGATGGGCGAGGCGCGCAGGTAGAAGGCGGCGCGCGTCTGCTGACGGGCCCCGGTCGGGCTGCGGTCGTGTACGACACTCACACTCGTGCTTGACCTGCTGCAGGTTGATGGGCGAGAAGGGCGCGCGCGCGTGGTGGCGCGGGCGGCGCAGGGCGCGCGCGAGGCGGCGCGCGAGGCGCGTGAAGGGCGAGGCGCGCAGGTAGAAGGCGGCGCGCGTCTGCTGACGGGCCCCGGTCGGGCTGCGGTCCTGTACGACACTCACACTCGTGCTTGACCTGCTGCAGGTTGATGGGCGAGAAGGGCGCGCGCGCGTGGTGGCGCGGGCGGCGCAGGGCGCGCGCGAGGCGGCGCGCGAGGCGCGTGAAGGGCGAGGCGCGCAGGTAGAAGGCGGCGCGCGTCTTCATGACGGGCCGCGCGCCCTCGCCGCTGCCGTGCGCCGTGGCCACGTGTCGCGCGAGGTGTGCGCGCAGTTTGAACTCCTGCCGACGTATGCGCAACACATTAGCCCGTTTACACACTGAGCCGCAGCGGCAACAACATGACATGCGCGGCAGCGGTGCAGTACAGTGTGTAAACGCGCTTATCACATTTTATTTTATTTATTAGGTACACCAACAAAGTCACATACATTATACAGTTATACATTTTAACATGGTTTAACACATGATACGTATATGACCTCAATTACAGGTATACACAGCATTTATTTTTGCAATGTTAGGGTAATTATACACTAGTAAAAACAAAAATCAATTGAATAGAGTTTAGAGTTGAACAATCTTTCTTTTCTATTTTTGCTAGAGAGTCTACAGACCTCGATTCAAACTCGATCATAAATGCTGACCTGATATTGTTCTAATGTTGAAATTCAAGTAATCAAGGCGATGTATCATGATCTCAAAATAATCCAAACCAAGTCAATAAAAATTTATCTACATCATTTCACTTATTGAACATCCAATGCTGAACATAGGCCTCCCTTAAATTTCCAAATTGGCCGGTTGAAATCGGTCTGCATGCCTCTGCTTTTATGCTTATCGCTTTGTAAAATACGGGTTGCTAATTGCTATGATTTTTTTTACCGAATTTTTTATACAAAGTTTCTGATAAAAAAATCAATGTAATCAGGTGATTCTTATAAGACTGGTACCATAATGGTATTGGAAGATTAGAAGTGTGTATGTGACCAACCTTGCGTTGAGTGTAACCATCGCACGTTACCTTGGAGCAGTTGAGCACGGTGCAGCGGTGCGGACGGTGCGACACGGAGAGCGCTGTCTCGTCGCCCTCGCCGCGGCCTGTCTTGCTGGCTTCTACTTCGCTCTCGCCGAAAACGCCGGCCGTCTGCCGAGAGAGAATGCGTTATTCAAGTAAAGAAACCAGACTTTTGAATTGAACTCAACTATAAAAGTAAACTAATGCAAACTCCTCGTGGAAAGCTAGGAAAAACCACAATAGGCGCAAAAGATCACGATAGTCAAGAATTATTGCAAACGATCACGATCATTAGAAATCTTTCACATTGGCTGGGTCTTCGAACGCGTGTGGTTTTATGAATAACTAGCTGTGCCCGCGACTTCGTACGCGTGAAAACCCGTTTTCGCAATATTTTTCATTTTTTATTACTCGTAACGTGACGGTATATGTACACCACAACATTTTTATCACCGAAAAATTTTTAACAGGTGATGTAGAAATGTGTGAAAAATATAAAAGTAAAAATTAAATAGCTTGACCTTATTCAAAGCTTAATAATAATGAGATAGGCTTTCCATTTTTCGTGCTATTTCCTACCTTTTTCTTCTCCTTTACTTCCGTTTTACACAGCTACTAGCGCCATCTGGCGTTTCCCCCCACCAGGCAGTGTTCGCGATTGCGAACTTCTAGCGTCATTGGCGTTTTGTTTTTCGTCGAGTGCGGACGGTCTCACTGAACTGCGTACTAAATTCAGTCGACCGTTATTTTCGTTCCTACCTACGATGTAAGTGATAAAAATTTTTACTTCTTGTAAATTATAAATTAGTTTTTCCCTTGCGGAAATAAAGTTTATTAACGTTTAAACGTTCGATTTTTGTTAAATTATAGTGTCTTCTCCGTTTTTTGTTTTTTATAAAATATCAAATTCCTACAAGTTTTGTGGAGAAAATATAATTGATTTTGAGCTTTTTCTAACGTAAAGTTACTTCATAGGATGGATGATTCGGAAACAGTGCAAAATGTGGGGGAAAATGAGGCGCGTGATCAACCAGGTCCATCTAGACCTAGGCCGAGGTCGGAGTCTTCGTCCAGCAGTTCCTCAAGTACGGACTCATCAAGTTCGGATTCCTCGAAGCGCAAGCGGAAACGTCGACATCATCGGCGCCATAAACGGAGCAAGCGGGCTAAACGGTCCGATGCCAGGTTAGAACAATTATTTAAAGAAGTGAGTGATTTACGTTATCATTTGGAGAATAGGAATAATATTGATTTGGACGATTGTATATCACTAGATCATGAATCTTTTGACCAATATTTTCCTCAGACTTCGCAGAAATTTCAAGCGTCTAACTTAAGCGGTTTAGATTTTTCATACAAAAGGATTTTCCCGCTGATTCCCGTTCCCGTGGGAATTCCTAAGTATCCTATAACCTGCCCAGGAGTATGAAGAATAATTGTACCAAGTTTCGTTAAAATCCGTCGAGTAGTTTTTGTTTCTATAAGGAACATACAGACAGACAGACAGACAGACAGACAGACAGACAGACAAAAATTTTACTGATTGCATTTTTGGCATCAGTATCGATCACTAATCACCCCCTGATAGTTATTTTGGAAATATATTTCATGTACAGAATTGACCTCTCTACAGATTTATTATAAGTATAGATTAATTTATTAAGAAGGTTACATTTACATTTCACTTTAAAGTATAAAATACAATTAATTTACTTTTACTTTTTAAAGTCTGTAATACCGAATGTTCTTTTAAGAGAAAACATATTTTTATTATTTTTCACCTAAAATAAGCTCTATGCACTATTATATAGAGCCCCTGAAAAGATGAATGCAAAAGAAAATCTCTAACATAGAATTTTTTTTACTCGAAGTGCTCGGCGTTTACTACTACAAATTATTCGTTCTTCTGAAAGCACATTCGGCGATACTTAGAAGTCGACAAAATTTACTCTTCGGTCTTACGAGGTTATAGTAGTTATAATAATAATTTAAATACAACTCATTTTCAGTTTTTACCAGGTCCCAAAATGGAACATTTAATTTGTAGGTAGTGCATTTCCTCATTTCAAATGAATGATGACCATGACAAATACATTTATCAGCTGATTAATCAATTTGTACGAATGAAGAAGTGTTTACCTGCTAATGACGGTTCCTATACCAAAATTAGTTGTATTAGAGCACCAGAAGAAACTTTAGAATTGGATACGGTATTTAACTGTATTTTATAGTACAGACAGCACATCGCCTCTATTACTAAAGACATAATAAGATGCCACCGTGTTTAAATAAATAATATCCTTGGACATTTTACATTGCGCCTCTAGTCCCAAACAAAGCAAAGTTTACCTTAACGTGCCATCATCTGCACAAAACAATACGTCCATCGATAGACCCCCAACACTAGCAGTTAACCACTGCTCTCCGTGTCACGTAAACTGCGTTTAATCCGGCGTCGCGGATTCACGGGCGGCGGGCGGCGGGCCCAAACCGGCGCACTGCTGACCCGGTTTGTAAGCTCACTATATTGGCGGCATGAACTCTTCATTTTGCGTATAAAACACAGATCTATCTAAATCTATGAAAGTGAAAGACCACTGACTGACTGACTTACTCACCACGAAATCTCAGAAACTACAAGTGCTAGGAGTCTCAAATCTTGCATGGGGGTTCCTTTTAGAACGTAGGTGCTCACTAAGACGGGATTTTGCAAAATTCAACTCCTAAAGGGGTAAAACGGGATCCACGCGTATGAAGTCGTGTGCGGCTGCAATTATGATAAATACAATGAAATATCGTCGCTAACGCCGCAAGTACATCATCTGTCTTGTCTCCTGGGGTGTCTGGAAGACATCGCTTTCTAGCCATAAGATCGTTTAAGCTTTAGTAAAATCGTTACTTCTTTCTTAGGAAATGCATTGTTTTCAAATTAAGTAACTTCTGCTGAACTGCCTGCACATAAGTTCATACATACATATTATTACCTATGTATACCTTACCTAATGTCCACTGCAGGGCAAAGGGTGGCAAAGGCATCAATACTCAATAATTTAACCTCATCAAAGATTTCCAACAAACGGCGATGCGCTGCCTGCATCCAGACGCAATCTTCGACCTTCCAGATCGTCGGTCCACCGAGTGGAAGACACTTCCTCTAATTGCCTTTTTTTTCTTTTTTTTCTACAACGAAGAAGCTCTTGGCCTGTATCTCTAGTAAATTAAAGAGGTTCGTGCTTCTTGAGTGGAACTCTAAATGACCTGATAGATAATGATAAAATGATGATGGTGATAAATAATACGTATTTGTTAATAACACACGAGGTATTCTCGAATATTAATTTCCCCCAACTGGGCATCGAACCCAGAACCATCAAAACAATGACGTAACCATAAACAAGGCTCAAAACACAGACATTAACCGCTAATAGACAATTTGGGCGATTACGGAGTTGTTTGCTCAAAACTAGGAATTACAGATGCGCGGGCGCGGTTTCTAAGAGCAAGGGTCATGCTTTCACTCCTTACAGGAATGTCAGATTGCCAGGGCTGTCACACACGTTTTACGGAATGTTTTTTTTTATGCTAGACAAGGCAGGTAGGTATTTGACCGCAATCGCACCTGGTGTTAAGTGAGATGCAGTCTAGGATGGACCATCCTGGATGGTACATAATTGTCTGCCCTGTAAGTGCCTAATTACATTTACAAATTAATTCACTAAATTATGCCCGTTTTCACCGTCAATCCCTAATTTTTAAGTGACCCCTATGGTAACACATTACTGGAATTTTGTTTTCATAGGGGTTACTTCAAAATTAGGGATTGATGGTGAAAACTGGCATTAGAGACCCCTTTTATGGCCACTGTACCTTTTTAGACCACTTAAAATTGAGAATGATTTCAATTGTCGAAACTGAATAAAAAGATAAATTAGAAGGATGATTTTGAAATTTCATAATGCTTTACATTTATTTGCTAAAAAATGGTGTAAAGTTGGTCAACTTCTACCTACTTCTTCTTCTAGAGATTAATGCTTAAATTGAAATGTCTTGCTGTATCCTGAAAAATATCAGAGAAAAGTCTAAAAGTTATTCACCTTATTAAATGACATCCGGGATTTTCAGTAGGTAATAATTTCCTCCATCATCCTCCATTTTATTTTCAGGTATCCCGTCTTTGAAAAAAATGGATTCTGTAACTATTTTAGAAAATAAAGTATTGTTTTGAAGTCACATCCTTGCATCAAACGGGTTTTGGTTGGACAATCACATTATTATTAGAAATTTTCAAACGGCGTTTTGGCACAAAAGTTTTTAGCACAAGAGCTGTGAACTTTGAACTTGCGGTTTGGGTGGTGAAAACCCAATATACTTAGACAATGGCACGTCAAGCTGTACACAATAGGACCATCCCACTAATCTACTAAGTATATAAAAATAAGTCGGGTTTTCCTCCCTGACGCTATAACTCCAGAACGCACGAACCGATTTCCACGGTTTTGCATTCGTTGGAAAGGTCTCGGGCTCCGTGAGGAAAGAAAATTCAGGAAAAATTTAAAGGGGATAAAACGGGATCCACGCGTACGAAGTCGCGGGCGGCCGCTAGTAATATTATAAAAGCGAAAGTTTTGGATGTCTGGATGTTTGTAACTCTTTCACGCAAAAACTACTGAACGGATTTTGTTGAAACTTTACACTATTATTGTTTGTAACCCAGATTAACATATAGGCTTTAATTTATGTCGATCTGTGAGCTGTGACACTAAATTTCACGCGGGTGAAGCCGCGGGCAAAAGCTAGTATTTATTATATTTAGTTGTAATAGGGACTATTTTTCAACGAAAAATGCAGTCTCACAGTTCAGTGTACTTATCATCATCATCTCAACCATAGGACGTCCACTGCTGAACATAGGCCTCCCCCAATGCTTTTCATGTTGCCCGGTTGGTAGCGGCCTGCGTCCATCGCCTTCCTGCTAGATTTACGATGTCGTCGGTCGACCTTGTGTACCTATATTGATAGTTTAATTTCTCTGTCATAATATGTTTTCTATTCAAGAGTATGATGGACTACAAACAAAAAGTAAATTTTTTGGTAACTGTGTTTTAACCTGAAAATTACATTCATTACCTTCTAAAGAATTAAGCAAGTACGGAAGTCATAGTGAACTGCATAGGTAGGTATGTATGTTTTTTATAAAGTTACTTAATAAAGAATCGAACATAAAACTTTTTAGCTCAAGACACTTCCATATTACTCAGAAAGCCCAAACATTAAAATCTCAGAAACTATTTTACAACTACAAACAGCGATAACAAAAAGCAAGAATCATTATTATTTCCAAACCTACTAACTAGATTGAAAACTCAAGTACGAACTATTCCAACGCTATCACGATAAGGTTATCAAAAACAACATGGCTGCCAAACTGTTATCAATATAGCAACAGCTAGACAAACTAGGAAGAGCTATTTTGACATTGCGCGCGACCTTGGCGCGAGCGCTGTGATTGGTCGGCGCCCAAGATGGCGGCTGCGTACGCGCTTGTCATTGTTTCTATTAATTAGACAACCGGTTTCGTATGTTTTTTTCATTTGGATTTGCATTTTTAGCTGCGCAGTGGAGGTTTTGTTGGATTTTTATAGAATGTTTGTATTGTAGAGACACTAGTAATATTTTTATGGTATTTGTCTAGTTAGTCATTTCAGCTTGTTTATTTCTTACTTTAGTTGATATAATTTTGATAATGAATATCAGATAGTCAATATTTGAAATAGGAACAATGATTACATACTTACATTGCAATGTAACTATTTTACGCACAAAAAGGATGATTTATCCAAGTGTAATAAAATTTATTAAGAGCGATTTACTCGTAAGCCAATTCAAGGAAAAGTTCTAACAACTGAAATTCTAGTCTGAAATTAATGTTACTCTATAATCTAATTCCTCTATGATCTAGTTACTAGACCTAGACGACTAGTTACAGAGTAGACTCTATCATAATATTGAAAACTCTGGGTTCAATTCCTAGGTCGAGCAATAACACAAAAAATATATTTTACAGCTTCGTTAGGTCAATGAAAACTTGAATCAATAATAATATTATTGTCTACACTTCCACACTAATACTCGTATTGACACCCAGTACGAAGTTTCCCGAGCCATCATTTCAGCCACAGGACGTCCACTGCTGAACATAGGCCTCCCCCAATGACTTCCACATCGCATGGTTAGTAGCGGCCTGCATCCAGAGCGCCTTCCTGCTACCTTTATCAGGTCGTCGGAGGTCCACCCACAAGGTGGACCTCCCACACTGCGTTTTCCGGTATGCGGCCTT